AAACGTTCAACAGGGACTCCGTGCAAGGTTCTTTGGTAGCAACACGGTGTGGTAAGCAACACGCTTTAGAAGTGTCTTCTAGGGGCACCTGGGTGGCTCATTTGGTTGAGTGTCTGACTCTTGATTTCAGCTCAGGTCACGATCCCAGGGTCGTGGGACCGAGCCCCGAATTCTGTGTGGAGCGTGGAGCCTGCTTAGGATTTGTTCTCTTTCTCCCTCTGCCCCTCTCCCCCACTAGCACTCTCTAAAATATAAAATAAAAATCCCCTTAAAATCAGCATCTTGTATTTTGTGGGGGGAATGGATATAAAATAATCTGTCTAGGTTTCAGTCTCTCTGGTTCTTTTGGGGCGGCGGTCACCTCTTTGTTCTGGAATCCTTTGCTCATCTGTTTCACGGAGGCGTCCTTCACTTCAGTCCCTTTTCTCATTTCGGTCCCTTTTCTCGTTCCTCCCTGTCACTTCCCTCAAGACCTCCCTGAAGACGTACTTGCTCTTACATTCTGGTCTAACCTGTAACCACACACTAGAAGTCCCTTCATTCTTCGGCACCTGTTAACTACACAGGTGCTACACCTGCTAACTACACAGTTAGCAGTGTTGAGGGCAGAATTCAGATTTTAATCATCCTTGTTATTTAGAGCACCCATCACAGGGCTTAGAAAGCTGTAAGTGATTCAGTCTGAACAAATACCAACCGTGCTGACAATTCCCACACGGATAGGCGTGAGAGAGACAAACATACTACACGTCACACTTCCTATCGTGCGTGTTTTTGTGTGTTCCAAGTGGTTCTCAGGACCTCGGCTACTGTATGTACCCGAGTGACTGCATAGTTGTGTCCCTCACCCCCAACAGGGTGCTGATGTTGCTCTCACGTAAGGAGACCAACTCATGTTGTCATGATTAAATTCCCCTGGCCTTTGACCTCTCAGGAGTTCTAGGACTTGCTAAATGTTCTAACCGTGATGTATCCCAATCTTCCTTAATGCAAGTCCTTGGCTTTCCCGGTCTGATGTTGTAACATTATATCATATTCTGCTGTGTCTTCTATCTGTCCATGGGCCCCTTGGCCTCCTCAATGGGTCATGTGACCGTACAACACTGCATCCGTGTCTACGTGTACACTTGAGAGCCTGCAGAAAACACGCATGTTCCCCTGAAGACGTGTATCAAGTGGGAAGGGTAGTGAAGTTGGCAAGGAACCCAAGAAGCTGGCTCTGGTCCTGCGTCTGCCAGTGACCAGCGCTGTGCCACCAGACAGGTCACCAAGCCTGCCTGCCTCAAAGGTGAGGAGCATCCCATGAGATAACTACATGACAAAGTTTTCCGTAAACTGAAAAAGGGCACACGAATGTCGAGCACTGTCGTTATTTAGTGTTTTATCTCAATCACTTTTACCAACCAGACTAGACCTTGGGTGTGAATACAACGTCTGTCTGCACAAATTGTTGCGCGAACGTCCCAGAGACGTTTTCTGAATTTGCTTCCAGCAGCCAAGCATTTCTTCAGCATTGGAAAAATTCTTTAAATTTGGCTCTCTCATGATTATTAAACTTTTTGTAAATGTTCAATGATTAACATATCGCCTACTTTTTTCAAAGTTTGGGAATAGAAGAAGAAGAATGGAGAAAAATAAAAGGCCAATCTCCAAACACTAAAGATAACCACATTAACATTTTATTCATTTTCCTACAGTTCTTTTTCTACGTGATTTTTTTCGTGCTTATATATTCATAAGTACTTCGAATTGGATTTTTGGAAGCTGGTGGTATATCGTGATTACAGGACAGAATTTTTCCCCCGAGGAATTGCTGTGCGCTTACGGGTTTATTCCCATCATAAGGAAAAGCATTCATAATAAAATAATTTGCTTTTATGATTTATCCAGCTGTTATTTTGAAAGAGGCAGTGACCCCTCTGCATTCTTAGAAGCTCCGTAGGGATTTCCTTTCCTTTGATGCTTGGCCTAAAGTACTTTTTCTTTTAGCAATTTTTAAAGAAAGGTACAAAGCTTAGATGTTTCCTGAGCCCTTATATATCTGAGAATGCTATTTTGCATCTCAGACTTTACCTCTCAAAACTTTTTTTCGTTGTCCTTTGGCATTTAATGAAGATGAACAACTGCATTCTGGGGTCACCATAATTTTTTGTTCCTTTATGCGTAAGCCTGTTATTTCCAGCTGAATGTTTTTAGCAGTTACTTCCCAGCTTTGTGCAAAATGTCATCCATAGGTACTCCAAAAAAGGGGGTGAGGGTCCTATGATCAAATGTGTTTGGGAAATACTGGTTCCTATATGCAATGCTAGAGATGTTCTGTAATTGCAGGATTGCTAACTTCCCACACTTAGTTAGCATTTCCCAAATGTATTTCACCACAGGACCCTTTTGAGTTCACAAGTAACAGCTACTGGGAAGTGTTCTGCAAAGCCCAATTTGGGATACGCTGGCTTAGAATTTTAATTATATTCGTAATTAACCTCTCAAAGGACAGGCAGATTGCGTCTACGCAAGGGTCTCTTTTCACTGTTTTATTTGTTTTGGTCTGGAATGCAGGATTCTTTTCTTTTCTTTTTTAATTAACAAAACCTAAAATACACTAAGGTATGATTTACTGTTTTAACCACTTTTAAGTGTACAGTTCAGTGGCATTAAGTACGTTCACATTTACTGGGCAAACCATCAAAATCCCCTTGTTAAACTGCACACTTATTTTTTTCTTCCCGTCTCAAAAAAGTTTCCTTAAATCCCCTGAATGGCATGTATCCACCAGAGCAACTCCAACATGCTGGAGGCTGTTTTGAGCCGTGGGAATGCAGAAGAATTGATCTTTTGCTCTTGCCTTTGTTCCTCAGAATTCTGTCACCCAGAGGAGGTTGGCTCCCCTCTCGGCCACCTGGCCGTCGGTCTCACCACATCTCTCTGAGCTGCGTCCGGAGATGCTTCTCAAGGTTGACCTTGACAGTCTTGCTCTTTTCTGCTTGGATCACGTTTTAAATCACTGTACTCACGTCTCAGTTTCTCTGCCTTTTTTTTTTTTTTTTTTTTTTTTTTTTAGCTTATCCTATTACCTTATTTTTGCTCAGCTTTTCTTTTATGGCTTCATTTAATAGTGTGTTTTCTCAAATCTCATTGAGAATACCAGAGAGGTTTCCTACAATGTGCTTTATTTACTTCCTTTAAAACATAATTTTCAGGGGCGCCTGGGTGGCTCAGTCGGTTGGGCATCCGACTTCGGCTCAGGTCATGATCTCACAGCTCGTGCGTTCGAGCCTCGCGTCGGGCTCCGGGCCGACAGCTCAGAGCCTGGAGCCTGCTTCGGATTCTGTGTCTCCCTCTCTCTCTGCTCCTGCCCTGCTTGCTCTCTCTGTCTCAAAAATATATAAACATTAAAAAAAGTTTAAAAAATAATTTTCCAAGTTATTACCTTCCAAGTAGTCTTTCCCTTTCCTTTTTCTTCTGTTTGTACAGAGGCTCCACACAGAGTCTCCTCCTCCCTCGCCTTCGGTGAGGAAAAGACCCGGAGGCTTCGTTTCTGACCGGCGGGTTGATGTCAGTGTCTTCGAGTCCATTCCCAGAATGGAGTTAGCGTTTGTGTACTGCGAGTTTGTCCGGTAAGATCTTTCCTTTCCTTGGCTCAGAGACTGAATAAACGGGGTGGAGCTTGGACACAGTTGCATTCCTCCCTGGGCACCAGGATCGGGGCTCTTCCTGTGGCCATCACCCCGCCAAGCCTAGCCCGCCCTTCCCCAGTGTTGTTCTGGGTATAGAGACGGCTCCCCTGGCAGGCTTGCCCTATTCCCTGCTTCCTGCCCAAGTATTCGCTGTGAGATGCAGTTTCCAAGTGTTCGCAGACGGAGAGATTGAAATGCGGAGGAGGTGGAAACGCGATAAATGGCAGCACCCTGGCCAATGTAAGCGTCCCGCCCTGGTGGTAGGCCAGCGGCTCTGCCTTCTGGCAGGTGCACACTTCGGGTTTCTCAGCGCGAGCAGGAGGTGGGGGCAGAAGGGAAGGTCTGTCAGCCTCGCGCCCAGGGGGATCCGGGACGCGTGGGCCACTGACATTTCTTCATCCGGTCTCATCTGTTTCCGAGCTTGTAGAAATTCCTCCAGATCCTACGAATAGGCTGGACATGTGTTCTAGCTGTGGGAATTTTAAATTTTGCCGTTCGCATCATCTTTGGTCATTTAGTGAGAAGCAGAAGAGGGTGTTAGCGGATGCCATTTTAAGCTCAAGTCTATAATTAAATTCTCGACTTTGATGGTAGGAAAAACCTGCTGAAGAATTTCTCTCCTACTAGTAACAGGCAGTGATACAATATGCAAGGATGCAAAGCAGATGGGTTCAGGATGAAGGCAGACGTGGCCTGAATCCCACTTTCCTTGTTTACCAGTTGCTGGATCTTGGCACATTGCTGGTTGATTGCCCTTCCCTTTGTACCTTCATAATCAAGCCCGAAAAGCATGGGTTCAAGTCCTCTCTGTCCTGAGTCCACCTGTGCAGTGCCCAAGCACTCAGATGAACCCAGCGCAGTCAACTACAAGTACTTTGGAAACCATAATTACTCCACGTGCATTTTCAAGTGGCAATCATTCAAAAGAACTACATGTATAACTCTTCTCAAGACTGTTTCAAACTAAATAAGTTTGCTTTTAATTAAGTCTCTAATTGAACCAATTAGAGATCAATGCAAGGGGAAAAGTTCAACAGGAGACTGGTTGGATTAAGGAAATGCCCATACTTTGCATTTAACAACGCTAGGCTCTAGTTTTTATTAGCTCATTGAGTAGATTTCCATATGTTCAAAAATCTGCCAAACAGGCTAAAAGCCAGAATAATTAAAACAAATTATTTATTCCCAGTTCCATCCATTTAAGCTTTCTCAGAAGTTATTACAGAAGTGAATACTGAAAGCAGAAACGAGAGTTCACAGCTGTAACATTCACAGCAAAGTTCATCTCTACAATGGCCTTGATTTACAAGATCCAAGGTGCTTCCATCACTCAGAATCCATGAGGAAAGTTTCGAAGTCCGGATCCAAGTCAGAAACAAGGGCACTTACAAAGTCATCAATGGAAGGACATTTCTGAAGCATACCTGCAAACAAAGAAAAGATCAGCCAGCACACCCACCTGCAGACAGTAAAGAGGAACAAAGACACTCTACACTAGGGGAACATTCTGGCTTTTTGAAATGAGAGCTTGGCTCTATGACCTATGTGAACATTACAGAAAGTCATGAGTAAAAAAAAATTCATTGTCAGTATGTGGGCCCTGAAGCTATTTATGATTTTAATATATTTTTACTATCTAATAGCAGTTAGAATAGAGATTTAGGACCAAATAGGTTTCCCCAGAGTTAAAAAAAAATTTTTTTTAACATTATTTATTTTTGAGAGACAGAGAGCGGCAGAGCATGAGCAGGGGAGGGGGAGAGAGAGACACACACACACACAGAATCCGAAGGAGGCTCCAGGCTCTGAGCTGTTTGTTAGCACAGAGCCCGATGCGGGGCCCACACTCACGAACCGCGAGACCATGATCTGAGCCGAAGTCGGACACTCAACCGACTGAGCCACCCAGGCGCCCCTCCCAAGAGTTTTTATATTGCAGATATTACTATATACTTAGAGTGATGTTAGAAGACTGAATTGTTAGTTATCTTTGAGTGCATTGGTTCAGAACTTAATACGTTTATTTGCTTATCAAGTTTTACTGTGAGGTTCTATACACTTTAAAATCAATCAAGTGTAACTCTTTTGTAGAAATCTCATATCAGAGTCAATTTATTGGCTTCCCTCCAGATTTTCCCATTTTGGAGAACTCCTAGATTTGCAACTTTCTAATTGTATAATGAGGAATCACTTAAAATATCTGGTACTCAGATTTCATCATTTAACATTTGAGGTGGCTATAAATATAAAACAAGAAGATGTAATAGAAAACAAGGAGGCATCGTGTCTAGCATGTCTTAACAATTCGGTAAAAAGCTAAATTTATCACCACTCTTCACTCTCAAAGAAGCCAAGATTCAAGCAATCAACGTTGTTGTTTTGACCATTATTCTTGGCAGATAATTCTTGGCTAACTCAAGGGTTGCGCAGGGCTCTATACACTGGCCTTTAATTTGGGGGTGGATCCCATAAAACTCATTCCAAAACAGAGACATTAAAAGATTGACAGAGACCTCTATTATCATCTCAGTCTTTAATGCAATTCAATTAAGATGTCTTGAGTATTTACTGTGTGTAAAGGATGAGGCCAGGTCACAAGCATTCAAAGACAAGCAGGCTAAGTCACAATATGACTAACTGTGAAAGCTAAAATTATGAAGGGTGTAGAAGAAAAAAATACCTTTGTGACTTTGAGGTAGGCAAAAGTTTCTTAGACAAGAAAGTAACAATAACCATAGAAGAAAAAAAACGATATGCTAGATCTCATCAAAAACAACAACAACAACAACAACAACAACAAGATCTTAACTTCTTTTTTTTAAAAGAAACCATTAAGGAAATGAATAGGTAAATGACAGAATAGGGGAAAACACTCAACATAATATATACCTCATAATGGATTGGTATCCAGAATATATAAAGGACTCCTTCAACTTATAGAAAGTATTTTTAAAAGGCACCTGGGTGGCTCAGTCAGTTGGGTGTCTATTGATTTTGGCTTAGGTCATGATCTCCTGGTTCATGATATGGAGCCCCATGTCAGACTCATGGTGACAGCAGGGAGCCTGCTTAGGACTCTCTCTCTCCACTCTCTCTACCTCTCCCCTGACTCGTGGGCACTCTGTCTCTCAAAGAAATAAACATTTAGGGGCGGCTGGGTGGCTCCGTCGGTTAAAATTCCTCCAGATTCTCCTATTTTGGAGAACTCCTAAATAGAGCTTTGCCTCAGGCCATGATCTTGCAATTCATGGGTTTGAGCCCCACATCAGACTCTCTACTGTCAGTGCAAAGCCCACTTCGAATCCTCTGTCTCCCCCTTTCTTTGTCCCTCCCCTCCCATGCGCACATGCGCTCTCTCACAAAAATAAACATTAAATAAACATTCTTAAAAATTTTTTTTAAAAGGGACAACAGGTTTGAGTAGACCTTTCACAAAAGAAGACAAGCAAATAAACACAACAGGCACTGAGAAGACACGTCATCATTGTCATCTGGGGAAAGAAAACTAAAGAACACAACCACCAGAAGGGCTAAAATTCCAAAGACCAAACGTAGGCAAGACTGTGGGCCAGCCTGCATTGTCACATATCAGTGATGGAGGGGTGAAGTGGTACAACCACTTTAGAAAAAGATCTGGAAGTTTCTTCTAAGATTCGCACACACGTACCCCACGACCCAGCCATTTCCTCCCAGGTATTTACCCGAGGGAAATGAAGGCATGTCAAAAAAAAAGGATTTTACAACCCCCAACTGGAAACGACACAAGTTTCCACCGATAGGACGTGGATAAAGAAACACGGTATATTTGGAAAGTGGAATACCACTCAGCAACAAGAACAACCACCCACTGATGAGTGAAACAACAACATGGCTGAATGTCAAAAGCCTTCCATGAAGGAGTGCATCCTGTTGGATTTTATTCACAGGAAGTTCAAAGGTGGGCCAAAGGAGTCTCTGGTGAAAAAACATCAGAAGGGCTGTTGCTTATGGGCGTGGAGAGGACAACTGACTGAGAAGGGACACAAGCCAGCTCTCTGGTGTGATGGTCATGTTCTATAGATGGGCAGTGATCGGCGTTATTAAGCGTATATATGCCTCAGAATTCATTAAACGGTACATTAAAGATGTATGCATTTCACTGTCTATAAATATTACCTAAAAAAGAGAAATAGGCATATAATAGTGTCTAGGGCAAAATGTACTGCTGTCTGACACTTGCTTTTAAAAATTATATATATTATATACACATGACGTCTTGAGGGGTGGATAGAGGAATGGATGGTTGGATGTGTGACAAAGACAATAAAATGTTCATTGTAGAATCTAAGTGGCAAGTGCGTGAGTGTTTACTGTTCTTTTCATTCAACTTTTCTGAATGTCTGAAAAGTTTCAACACAAAACGTTTGGGAAAAAGTCAACTGTGGGTGTTAACAGCATGCAAAGTGCAGTTGGTGGGAGAAGAGAGGGAGGAAGATGAATTCTGATGGAGAGATTCAGATGGCTTTGTGGAGGGATGGGATCTGAGTGGAAACTTGAAGGACAGGGAAGGGTCAGGGTCAAATTAGGCCCTTCTCGGTGGAGAGGACGATGTAGGAAGGCACGAAGGTGGGAAAAGGAAAAGAATGTATACTGACCACTAAGTGGTCTGCTGGGGTCTTGGAGGAAGGGTGGAGGCTCCGGGAGACATGTTTTATGAAGACTCTAGGGCTTGGGACGACAGTGACCAGGATGAGAAGGTAACTGGGCCAGAATGTGAGAGGAAAGCCAACACATTTAGGTGCCGGGTTGGGGGGCGGGGGAGCCATCAGGCCTCAGTTGGCCGTGAGACCAGAGAGTTTGGGGGCGGGTCCAGGACGGGACACATGGCCACGGTCATTCCCATCAGGGGGAGCGGCCACGTGGGAAACTGTCCAAGGACTGGCTTGCGTGGCGGACATAAAAACAGTCGTGCCAAACACATACTTGTAAGCCACGGACTAGACCTGCAGTAGTTAAGAAAATAAGACTGTTGTAATGTTTTCAACTGCAGATCAAAATATTCTCATCCTCATCCAAGTTCAATTCTACTATCTTCACCCAGGAAATATCTGAGAAATAAGGAGAAGCTACTGAGGGGGGAAGTTCATTGCTTTGTCTTTATTTACAAAACTAAAGTTCAAAACATAATTTTCCTTTCCCAGTCAAATAATCTCTACGGGTGAAAGAAGGCCTTTCCTCTGACCCAGCCGCATCACTAAGGATGGAAATGGTTGAGTCTTTGATGGTTGCTAAAGTAGCCCATTTCACATTAGATTTTTAGATGTAGGTCGTTGCTTAAGTAGAAGCAATCTGATTAATAAATCAGGTTTCGGGCACTTCCTACGCGCCAAGTTTCTTAATGCAGAGAACAGCTGTAGGGAAAACATCTAAACGTGGCTCTCAATCAAACGTGTTAACCTATTACACCCTTTTCTTCCCTTTAGTATGTGAAACATTCTATAATTAAATGACTGGTCATTTATAATTAAATGCCTGGGCCTGTCAGAAGGTAAAACCCAGTTATTCAGAGCCAACCTGTTCAGTTAAGCATAGCCTCCTGTCCCTTTGAAGTGGTTCACTTTACTCAACAAACTGCCAATATAAATATGACCTTGCTCTGTCCTTCGCGGGACATGGACCTAGCTAGGCCATGTCCTTCTCCAGTCTCCCATCCTCCACCATGCCTGCGTCTCAGGGAATGGCAATTCTAGCGACAGCACAACAAAAACATACACGCTCATGGCATTTTTAAATAAAATCTGGTCAGAAGTGGTTTGGTCATTTTTGTATGTCATGTGACTGCTAGAGACGAAGGTCCCCAGAAGAGGAAATCAGGACTCACTGGGATAAAGAATAGTCCTGAGGCAAGAATTCCCTTGGCATATCGTGATGGTATCCTTGCTTTAATTAGATTTAAATGTTTGGCAAGTGTCGAC